AGGAAATGGAATTTAAGTTTAAAAATTGAATCTATTAAAAGAAAAACATTAAGTAATTAATCGCAGAAGTGGCATAGAGAATCAGCAAAACTCATACTTTGGATCAGGCATCCAATCTGATCCAAATACACAGCAATATAGGTAGAACACATGTATTAAAAAGATAAAAAAGCTGGGCGTGGTGGCTTGGGCCTGTAGTCTCAGCTACTCGGGAGGCTGAGGCACGAGAATTGCTTGAACCTGGGAGATGGAGGTTGCAGTGAGCCGAGATTGTGCCACTGCATTCCAGCCTGGGGGACACAGTGAGACTCTGTCTCAAAAATAAAATAAAATAAAATAAAATAAAATAAAATAAAATAAAGTAAAATAAAAATCAATCAGCTAAGACCTAAGGAAAAGAGAAACTTTACTGGTAATCAAGTAGCAGGAAGCCTAGATAATGTTTTCATGATGAGGGTTGGAGGGACAGAGACCAGGGGACTTGAGATTGTGCCAAACATCTTCTCTTATGGGATGTGGGGAGATGTGATATCAACTTCAAAAAAGAATAAAAAGAAACAGAGAAGTGTGGCAAACAGAGGGAGTATGTGACGTGCCCAGGGTCCCACAGTCATTATGTGGTAGAGGCAAGCACTAAAGCCAGTGCCATCAGGACCCACAGGTGGTGCGCCAGGCTTTATCGTGGGACCATTCGCACGTATTTTGTCACTCACCAGCAGAGTGGTATCAAGGCCGCGCCATGCCTAGTCAATTGCTCTTTTCTTCATTTTTGGCCATCTCTTTTGTTCCAGGCTGTGAATGGGTAGAGGGAGGGACTGCCCCTGTGTTCGAGCCCCGAGCTGTTAGCCACCTGGTCACGTGGCAGGACGGCCGATGCAGCAGCGAATTCCTGGCCTCTCTACCCCAGCCGAAGTCTCATCTCAGTGTGGCCACGGGCTTTGGCTGTGCAACTATCTTCTGGCTTTTGAAACATTGGTACGGGCAACTGCACTTTGACTTGGGGGCCGGGTTTCTGGGAGGATGAGAATGGGCCGGGGCTGCGTCAGCATCGCCCCGCCTGCTGGGCTCTGCTGCAGGGAGTGTGTCTTGGCAGGACAAGAGGGAGCATGGCCTGGACCTAGATTGGGTCCAGCCGCATCCTTTTGCAGAGGGCTCTCTATTGGTTATCCAGTTCCCACCCAGATGGGAAAAGGAAGGGACACAGAGGGCAAGTGACTTGCCGAGGGTCACAGAGAGAGTTTGCAGTGTGTTCAGGCCTGCGAGGCTGCTGCGGAGGCCGACGTCTGCTTTCCCAGGCTTGACACTTCCTCCTCTGAGGCCCTTCCCCTGGGGCTGACTTAGGCTGGCTTTGCTTGGGGCAGCTGGAAGGTCCTAATCCCAGGGACCCAGCTGGACTTGAGCCATAGCATGTGGGGTTGTGGCTGCCACCTGGCCATGGCACAGCTGGTCCCCGCTGCCTGCTGCTAGATGCGGCACATGCTTCCGAGTTCATGTTGTACCATGTTGAGTTGCTTTTGGTATGAAAAACAGCCCGGAGTTCCTGAAGTCCTACGACGCAGCCGGTACCGTCCATGACTATGTGGTTGCCATGCTGTGTGGCTTGCCGAGACCCCTGATGTCCGACCAGAACGCTGCTAGCTGGGGCTATTTCAACACGCAGAGCCAAAGCTGGAACGTGGAGATGTGAGTATCACATCCTTGCAGGCTGTTCCTCCTGCTCCAATCCGAAGGGCAACCCCAGAGCCAATGCTTCAGTGGGAGCTTTCCCACCTGGGAGTGGCGGAGGGTTCCTGGAGGCCAGGGTCAGGGTCCAGTGCCCCCAGCCTGTCCCAGTCACGGGGCATGGGTGGGCCAAGTGTAAGCGCAGCCCTGAGCCCTGGGGTAGGGGCTTCAGCCATGCTGTCGTCCTCCACAGCCCCCCAGACCCTGGGTGGGCTGTCCCTTCTCTGTGACTGTGGGCCCAGTCTGTAGGTTTCAGAGTACAACTTTCACTCTTTAATACTTAGAGGGCCAGGCACAGTGGCTCACGCCTGTAATTCCAGCACTTTGGGAGGCTGAGACCTGTGGATCATCTGAGGTCAGGAGTTCGAGACCAGCCTGGGCAACGTGGTGAAACCCCATCTCTACTAAAAATACAAAAATGAACTGGGCATGGTGGCAGGTGCCTGTAGTCCCAGCTACTCCAGAGGCTGAGGCAGGAGAATCACTTGAACCCAAGAGGCGGATGTTGCATTGAGCCAAGATTGCACCACTGCACTTCCGCCTGGGGGACAGAGCGAGACTCTGTCTCCAAAAAAAGAAAAAAGAACTAGAGATAGTAGGCTTGAAGGATGCCTTTTAAGTTCTTTTAAACAATCATTTGCCTTTTCAGGTACAGAAATCCAGTGCCCTGTAAGTTCACTTCCTTCAGGGCCCAAATTCTGAGCTCTGAAATAAAACAAAAAGCACCTGGTAGTTCAGGTAAAGGACTTTCCAGCATGTTGTGTGAAATTGACAGCCCCCATTCACTAACGCTGAGTGATGAATGCATTTGATATTCAGGAGCTTGCTGCGTTTGACTTTGGTTTGGACTGTGCTAACCAACCATGATGGCGCCGAACCTCTGGCTGCCTCCGTTCACAGAGTTTTTGAGTTCCCTTCAAACAGGGGAGGCTGGACTTGATCACGGCTGCTTATGTTGTTTGTTTTCTTTCCTGGAAGGTGAATCCTAAGCTTATGAAAACCAGTGTACTCTACTGACAAAGCCTAAGCTCATGGTTTTAAAAAAGCCAGAGAAGCTGCCTGTGACGGCTCTGAATTCTATCCCCTCTCGGCCACGTGTGTCCTATAGCACTTTCCTGTGCAGAGTTTCCTGGAAACAAACAAACAACAAAAAAGAAAGCAGCTGGGTGTGGGGGAGTACGTCTGCTTGGGAGGCTGAGGCGGGAGAATTGCTTGAGCCTGGGAAGTTGAGGTTACAGTGAGCAGTGATCACACTACTCTACTCCAGCCTGGGTCACAGAGCGAGACCCTGTCTGAAAAAAAGAAGGAGCCGGGTGCAGTGGTTCACGCCTGTAATCCCAGCACTTTGGGAGGCTGAAGCAGGTGAATCATGTGAGGTCAGGAGTTCAAGACCAGCCTGGCCAACATGGCGAAACCCATCTCTACTAAAAATACAAAAAGTAGCCGGGCGTGGTTGTGTGTGCCTGTAATTCCAGCTACTAGGGAGGCTGAGGCAGGAGAATTGCTTGAACCTGGGAGGCAGAGGTTGCAGTGAGCCAAGATAGTGCCA